AGCCCCAGCACTGATAAAACTCTAATATGTTAAGGTATGGTTAGCTAGTTCCTCCCCAGGGTAGGAGTTGTTAAGAACAGAATGCTTTGAATGGTTCTAAGATTGCTGCCAAGCCTTACAATCAGAGTTGATTCCCAGGCTCCCTCCACATGGTCTAAGGAAAAATCCAGTTCTGACAGATACATACGAGTGTGCACCGTAGCACACTCTTCCTCACGGAATCAATAACATTAAACAGATAACAGGCAAAACAGATGTTGTAAGCACTCACCAGTGGTTTCTTTTGTGAATCACTGGGGATCATTCTCCTAAATTCTCTGAGGACCTGCCAGAGTTTCTAGAGGTAAAATTCTCAACTGTGAGGGTTCTCCTGGGAGTTTCTCCTTTGGCCTGGTCTACACTGACCTGCTAGGTTCCCCAGCTCTAGTTTAGGTTGCTTAATCTGATATAAGTAAGTCATGTTTCTCTATCTTATTTGCTTCTTAGTGTGTTGGGGAGCATCTTGTTTGTGACTACTTTTCTGGTGATTTTTCAGGCAGTTACATACACTTTGTATGTGTTTCATTTCAGAGTGAAGCCTTAAAAACTCTGTAGGTTGGACTACAAAGTAGAAATCCTAATGTTTTAGACATTTACTGATAGAAACTTACATCTTCTAACTTTGCTGTAATGTTTATTTTTTTATGGATTGTTGAGAAAATACCTTGTTTTTTTCTTTTGATTTCTTCTTTTTAATTAGAATTGTTTTAGTGCCAGGCGGTAGTGGCGCACACCTTTAATCCCAGCACTCGGGAGTCAGAGGCAGGTGGATCTCTTTGAGTTCGAATCCAGCCTGGTCTACAAGAGCTAGTTCCAGGACAGGCTCTAAAGCTACAGAGAAACCCTGTCTCTCTGTTTAAAAAAAAAAAAAAAAAGAGGAATTGTTTTACTTCGTTTTGAAATATCTTCCATTTATCTTGGTTATTTGTTTCTAATTTACTATCTTTATGTCACTTCTGTAACATGAGTCGGCCGGCTTGTTTGTGTTTCTGTCTGGTACCCCCAGCTGTTTAGTCCCAAAGAAAAAAAATCACACACAGGACTCCATAAGGTTATAAAGCTGATTGGCCCATTAGGTCAGGCTACTTATTAGCTAACTCTCACATCTTGATTAACCCATTTTTCTGATCTATGTTAGCCATGTGGCTCAGTACCTTTTTTAGCTGGGCAGATCACGTTCTGCTGCTTTGGTGATCTGGGCAAGAGTGGGAGGAATCAACTTCCTCCTCCCCAGAACTCTCTTGCTCTCCTTGCATCATTTCCACTTCCTGTCTGGTTTTCCTGCCTACACCTCCTGCCTGGCCAATCAGCATTTATTTAAAACATGATTGACAGAATACAGACAATTCTTCCACACCACACTTCCTTTAAATTTTTTGACGCTTTTGTATTGTTTCCTTAACCTTACTCTTTTTTTCATTTTTTATTTGTTCATCTAGTTATTGTTGAAAGATATGAATAGCTGAAGGTTTGGAGGTAATGGGAGGAACTAACTATGCAGGTAAAACATAATATCAGGAAGGAAGACTCTGGCAGGTTACTCTGGGCTGAACGTGGGTGGGTATATAGGTATGCACACAAGCTGCACAGAAGTACGCACAGAGGCCACAGGCCAGAAACACACACAGGTAAGAGAAACAAGCTCTGGCTCTCCAGATCTTACTATGTAGAGCGTGCTGGCCTTGAATTCACAGAGATAGAGGATAAGATTCTGTCTTTCTGGCTTCCAAGGTTCAAACTCAAGTCTCCATTTCTGTTTCCTGAACTGGGATAGTTTCTATAATGGGTTCTCCAAGTTATCTAGGGAAAAACTGTGGCTCTTTTGAGACTTTTGTCTGTAGTGTGAATTCTATTTGGTCTTAATAATAAAAACACAGAGTCAAATATAGGGGTAGATGCTGACAGCAGTACAGCAACCAGCCACTAGTTCTTCTACGAAATCCTTCTGACTGAATAGGGTATCCTATTTCTACAAGTCCTCAGACTGTACTCCTGTTCTCCTCCTGCCTTATATTCCTGTCTGCCCACTCATATCCCTTCCAGTCTACACCTTCTTAGTGTTGGAATTAAAGGTGTGTGACTAGGTATTGGGATTAAAAGTGTAAGTCACTGCTGCCTGGCTCCTTTCTCTTTGAGACTGGATCAATCTAGTGTAGCCCAGGGTGTCCTTGAACTCACAAAGGCCTCTGCCTCCCCAAGAACTGGGATTAAAGGTGTGTGCCACCACTGCTTGGCCTCTGTGGCTGACTAGTAGCTTGCCCCTAACTCTGATCCTCGGGCTAACTATTTGTTACAGCACAAACGAAATATATTTGTCCAGTATTTTACACCTACTCATGATTGAAGAAATAGCCCTTCTCTGTTCTTCCTTTCCCAGCTCACCAGCATAAATGACAACAGTATGACACAAATATAGGCTTTAAATAAAACCATAACTGAAATTTTTGGTTCCCTAGTACAGAGTCATTTCTTCTTTATAAATTTAAGAGTTTTGTTTAAAGTAGGAAATAATTTGTACCTAGTATAGCAACTTAGTAGATATATTAGGGTCGTATCTTAGCAGCAACCTAGTGACTCCAGGCTGTGAAACAAAGCATATTCTTAATTACTCATTAAATTGCCTGTAAATCAGAACGACCAATGTTTGCATGCATTAATTAAGGGATTCTTATTACAACCAAATAGCCAATTTTTTTTTTTCTAGTGGAAAGGATAGAGAGACTGTATTATGGGGCTGGGAAGATGGCTCAGTAGGTAAGAGCACTGGCAGCTCTTGCAGAGGACCCAGGTTTGGATCCTAGTCCCAAACATGGTGGTAACAGTCATCTGTAACTCTTAGTTCCAGAAGATCTGACACTACATGTTCATGATAAATAGACAAAATACCTATAACACATAGAATAAAAATGAATGAAGCCTTTAAAATTACATTCGTATATGTTAATTTAAAAAAGGACTGGGGCTGGGCAGTGTTGGCATACGCCTTTAATCCCAGCACTCAGGAGGCAGAGGCAGGTGGATCTCTGAGTTTGAGGGCAGCCTGGGCTACAAGAGCTAGTTCCAGGACAGGCTCCAAAGCTACAGAGAAACCCTGTCTCAAAACAAAACACCCAAAAAACAAAAACAACAACAACCAAAAAAGGGACTGGGAGTGCTAGAGACAGGGTTCAGTGAATAAAAACACAAGTAGTGTTTGTAGAGGATTTGGGTTCAATTTTTAGCATCCACGTGGCGACCCTTGGCTTAGTACTCAACCACTCATATGGTGGTAGCTCAGAATCAATTCCAGGGGTATCTGACCTCTTCTTTGGAACTCCAACATGTACTTGGTGTACCACATATGTACATGCAGGCAAAACACTCCTATACACTTAAAAACCGGAAAAGATTATACTGCCTTCAGTCGAGTAGACTCTAGCCATCTTTCTCTCATTTTGACAGCATGCACAACGGAATCATTAGAAGGAAGGAAGAGTTTTTAGATCATAGTTTCAGTGGCTTCAGTATAGAGTTGCTTGGTCTCATTGCTTTAACCTGCATGTGGTGGAGGTCAGCTGTTCATCTCAGGGTGAAATTAGGCCTTGAGTGTCTTCTTCAAAGGCCCGCCACTGGTGCCTAATTCCATCCACTAGGCCCCACCTATGTCCTGTAGGTTCAGCTGCCTTGAACTTGTTAGCCAGGCCTCAGCATTGGGTCCTTGAATATATTCAAGATCTAAACTCTAGCAAATATCAGAGATCTGCCTGCCTTTGCCTCCCAAGTGCTGGGATTAATAAAGGCATGTGCTACTATTGCCTGGTAAGATTTGATTTTCAAAACATTTCTCTTAGTTTTTTCTTTTGAACATTGATTTTGCAAAAATCACTAATCATTTTTGAAATTGATTTTTATTATTTTTATTACAAGCTTATTCTCAGACTAAGTGTTGCATAGAAATTAATACTTGTGTATCTTGATTTTTTTATTTTCATTAAATTTGATATCACAAAGATTTATTCAAAATTTACTAGTTATGTTCAAGGTAGTGTATTTAAACACATCGGATACTTGTGAATGTACTAGTGATATAAAGTCTCTTGCTCCTGAGGGATGCTATGAATCATGTTAATTAGCATACATCTAGTTTGATATACATCCACACTCACTTTATTCGCCTTTATTTGGCCACACATTATATTTAAGATGATTGCTAAACCCAGAATCTGGTTGTCTACACAATCTTTATCTTATTTTTCTTTAATCATATGCACGTCATCTAGCTTTACTTCAGTTTGCAGAGAAATGATTTGTGTTTCAAATACTGGAAATTTTCTTTTAAGTAAGAGCTTTCCTTGTGCTTTTGAAGTATTGTTGCTACGTTTTAGGAGGGCGCCTGATGGCGTGTAGTCTTCTAATGGATGGTGTGCGTTTTGTTTTCTTTAATTACTGACTACCGTTTTGAACACCAAAACTTATAATTTCATGGCTAAGCAATAGTATGTTCTTGGTGAAAATAATGCTTGAAAAATGAACACCTTTGGTATAGCTTTTTAAAATGTATTAATAAGGTCAAATGTTATTTGCTGCAGTCTGACCTTCAGTCAGTCATCTTATCAATTATATACTTTGTTTCAAAGAAGTGATAGGGTTGGGTATGTAGAAAGCCAGTGGTGGAAGCCCAACATGTGAAAAGCCCTGGGGTTGATCATGAAGATGGTAAACCAGCAACAAAAAAAAGTGAAAATAGATTTTACGGTATGATTTTCTTTGGTAGAGCCTGACTTTTTAAGAATGGGAATGTTCACATAAGTTCAGTGCTTATTTATACTGTTTTCTTTAGCCAAAAATATAATTAGTTCTTTTTTCCTTTTACTCCCCCCTTCTTTCTTTGTTTTTTTTTTTCTTTTTTTCTTCTTCTTTTTTTTTTGGTGTGTGTGTGTTTATTTTTTATTTTTTTAATTTTTTTTTGATCAAAATGTTAGACTTACACAAGCACTAGCAACAACTCTATATCTGGATCATTGAAGCGCTTGGAAGATACTGCAGCACGATTTACAAATGCAAATTTCCAGGAAGTCTCTGCACATACCTCTAGTGGAAAAGATGTTTCAGAGGCTAGAGGGTCAGAGGGAAAAGGGAAGAAATCTTCAGCTCACAGCTCAGGTCAAAGGGGAAGGAAGCCTGGTGGTGGACGAAATCCAGGAACAGCTGTGTCAGCATCTAGCCCCTTTCCACAAGGTATTATATTTTAGTAAAAATACTTATATAGTAGTCAGTAGTTGTTAATGTTTTGTAAAAGAATTCATTTTTTCTTATGACTAAGGATTATTCTAGATTATGTAAGTAATTGATAGTTTAGGATTACTTCCAAAAGTAGTGTTTCATTTTAAAGTGTTTCTGGAGCTTTTGTTCTCTTTATTAAATGATTTATTGAATGATTCATGTTTTTTAAACTGTAATTTTAATGTTTAAATGGCTATAGAATTGGAATTAAGATTGGGGAGAAAAAGTTTTTTCCCCCCCAAGAATAGGTACTCTTTCTGTAAGCTGTTTTTATTTACTTCTCCTAATAACATTTTATGTTTTAGTAGTAGATGAGAATTAAGCAAATTTTATAGAATCTAAGTAGGTCTTAGTGATATTATAAGCAGTGCATTAATTATAAAGCTTGAAGTTAAAAGTAGACTTTTATTCAACAGCCCTGTTCTATGCTCAAACTGCTATATTAACAGGATGCCCTGTTTATTTGAATTTTACATAAATGACAAATAGTATTTTAGTGTGTTTCCCAAATACTGTTGGGTTAAAGACTGAAGTTCAATATTAACTGGGCATGTGTAGTTTTATGGAAAATAGGAACACTGTCACATTTTAAAGTGTATACTCTAATATTCTTGCTTTATATGTAATTTTAAATGTCAACACAAATGCCTTGAATAACAGAAATATTACAATTTGAAAGAAACCAAAGCTAAGTATCATGTTCACTTGTGTTCCCTTAGAAATGAATGAAAGGACTATCATTTGTCTTTGTTGAAGCATTTGTTAGACTTAAATCCAAGGTCTTAACAGTAATATATAAATAGTAGATTGCTAATCTGTTGACCTTGCACTAAAAATATATTCATGTATTTCATACGAGGAATAATTTGGAGTTACAAGCCAGGTATATTTATGTGAATATATTTCTTTTTGGACAAAAAGTTCAGTAAGCATAGATTTAAAAAAATGCCAAAGTTACTATTTTATTTAAATAAAAATTAGTGTTATTTTTGTACCACTTTGAAAATCAGTCAAACCTTAATTAACCTTAAATGTAGCTTCATTTACATTTTAAATGAATGTTGTATTAGCAGAAGTCAATTAATCTCATTAAAATTGTTTGTTTGAGTTTTTGAGATGTAGCCCAGCCTGTCCTTTAATATCCTGTGTGGATTCTGATCATCCTTCCTCAGTCTTCCAAGTGCAGGAATTATAAGTGTGGGTCACCAGACCTGCTGTATTCTTAAGTTTTTCTTTGTATGAAGTGCTAATCAATTTTGAAGAGGTAGCTCCTCTGGTTTTGGAACTCTGTAATATTAAAGATAGGAAATATGTTATAGTTACATGAAGTAACCAATAAAATGTTGAAATATGAAGATAAGGTATTTAAGGTGGCCTTGTTTTTTTATTAACTGTTTTTTATTACCTGTGGATTTTAGAAAATTTAAATATACCAATAGAAGTATTTGATATTTTTTAATATTATGTATGTGTGCATGTGTGTACATGTGTGTGTTTTAGTGTGGGATTCAGACTAGGGTCTCCTATATATTGTGCAAATTCTACCTTATAGTTTAGTTTTATGAAACAGTAGATGTTTGAGCTGAGTCTGTTTAGTTGCTTATTTTATTTGGCAAACAAGGAAAGAGTATTGTGAAATAGGGGTGATGGAAACTTTACTCCAGGGCAGTTTTCTACTAGGCACATAAGGGTTTAGAGTTTCTTAGACTGCATACTGGCAGGGGTTGCTAAGTGTTCTGACTAGAGTGAGGAGAAAATAAGCAGTTGGAAAAGAGGCAAAGAAGAGCTATCTCTTTGCCATGATTTTTCATTCTTGTTTTTAGATTTATTTACTTTATGAGTGTTCTGTCTGTGTACGCCTGTGTACCGTGTGTGCCTGACGAGGTCAGAAGAGGGCATAAGATCCCTTGGAATGGGAGTTACAGATGATTGTAAGCCACTTCATGGGTGCTGGGAGCCAAACTTGGGTACTCTGCAAGAGGAACAAGTACTCTAAACCACTGAGCCTTCTCTCTACATGGTAATTTCTTTTTAAAATCATGACTGTTCATTTCCATTATGAACAAAAGACAGTTCCCAGTGAGCAGTGGTGGCACACGCCTTTAATTCCTGCACTTTGGAGGCAGAGACAGGCAGATCTCTGAGTTTGAGGTCAGCCTTGTATACAAAGTGAGTTCCAGGATAGCCAGAACTACACAGAGAAACCCTGCCTGAAAAACAAAACAAAACAAAACAGAAAAGATCAGATAAGACATAGTTAGTGTCTTAGTAATATGGTACAATTCAAGAGTGAGTATGTGATATTGTCTTTGACAAGTGTTTTAAAGTTAATTTTAGAGATAAAGTTGATTTCAATTTACCTTTCTTGTATCAAACTTTGTTACATAGAGTTATAACCTCTGTTTTATAATTTGCTTTTAAAACATCCTTTTCTTTTTGATAATTGTGTTATGTCTGTTGCTTAGAGGAACTTTGTATCCAAGTTTTCTTCCTCCACTACCTTTGGTGTTTGTGTTTTGCTGCAGGCAGTTTTTCAGGAACTCCAGGCAGTGTAAAATCATCTTCTGGAAGTTCAGTGCAATCTCCTCAGGACTTCTTAAGCTTTCCAGACTCAGATCTGCGGAATGACAGTTATCCTCACTCCCAGCAGTCATCATCAACCAAAGATGTACATAAAGGAGAGTCTGGAAGCCAGGAAGGGGGAGTAAATAGTTTCAGTTCTTTAGTAGGTCACCCTGGGACCTCAACTGTTATTTCACAGCCTAAAAGCTTTGAAAATTCACCTGGAGATTTGGGTAGTTCCAGCCTCCCTACAGCAGGATATAAGCGAGCTCAGACTTCTGTTATAGAAGAAGAAGCTGTAAAAGAAAAGAAACGAAAAGGAAATAAACAAAGTAAACATGGGCCTGGCCGACCCAAAGGAAACAAAAATCAAGAAAATGTTTCTCACCTCTCAGTTTCTTCTGCTTCACCAACATCATCTGTTGCATCAGCTGCAGGAAGTGTAACAAGCTCTAGTCTTCAGAAATCTCCTACCCTGCTCAGGAATGGAAGTCTGCAGAGTCTTAGTGTTGGCTCATCTCCAGTTGGTTCAGGTATAGAGTTGTGCCTTGTTTTCCCTTCCATTTCTTTACTATCCTTTCTTTCCCTCGCCAGAAAGTTATAAACAGTTGTTATCAGTATATTTTGAATTGGTGAGCTACATTTAATTAACATGGCATTTCTTAATTTTTATTTTATTTTTTTGAGGACAATAGCTTAATAAATAGTCAGGCTGGCCCGAATCACTCTGTAACCAAGGCTGGCCTCAAACTCTTGCTCATGGATCAGCCTCTCAAGTGCTGGATAATTAACATGACGCTTTAATTTTTTTTTAAAAAAATACTTGTTTATAAATAAAAGATAGGAGGTCATTAAATGGCCTATGCTGTCCTGGATCTCTCTATAACCCAGAATGGCCTCAGACTCTTGGTCTTCATGAATCAGCCTTGCAAGTACTGGTATTGCAGTGATCTGTTTCCATGACTGGCCAGCTTTCAGGAGGAGGTGGCATGTGCTGTAGCATGTGTGGAGGCCAGAGGACAACCTGAGCAGCTGGTCTCTTCTTTTTTTCACTGTGTGAGTCTCAGGTCATCAGACTTGGTGGCTAACATTTATTTAAACCTTTGAGCCATCTCAACTATTTTTTTTCATTTCCTAATGAGAAAAGTAAAAGTATCTTACAATTCTGGCAAAATTAATGCCAAATATTTAAGCACCAAATAATCTCATGTGTTATTAAATGTAGACTAAATAGCTTATTATTCATTGGTATTTCCCAATTTTACTTTTGCTCCACCTGCACATTATGTTTAACACAAACAGGATTCGCATCTTAAGATGTGAACGCTTCTCTACTGGCTTTTGGTGTCTTCTTATTTTGAGCTCTTTTGCAAAACTCATCTTTAATTTTCTCTTTCTCTATAATTGTACACAAATAATATGAATTACTCTGAGACTCTCTTCAAATTTGTGGTAAATAACTTAAAGTTAGTATTTGTCAAGTACATTTCACGTTGAATGATACGTGAATTGTTTTAAAATTTGTTTTAAATGTATTTAGCGATTTTTAAACCATTATTTTTATCTGAAATTAGAGTTGATTACATAGATTTGAACGTGGTCCCCAGCCTTGCTTTTATTTTTGATTTTGTAATAACTGTTCCAGTCTTGTTTAGAAGTCACTATCTAGCACGCATAAGCCTGAAATTGGCTGTGAATTAGTTATCCATGTCTTGTCGGTGCTGATATTACAGGTGTGCACCACCTTTTATCATTTTTATGACAGTACACATGAATTTATATGTAGTGCTCATGTCTCTGGTATGCTTTTATGTAACCTGTAATTTGTGTTACAGTTTTAAGTCTTTAAAAATTGCTGGAATTGCATGCTTTATTTTATTTATTTTAATGATTTTTGTTATGAGTGTTTGAGTGCCTGGTGGTCTCTGAGGCCAGAAGTATGTGTAGGATCCCTCTGCAACTGGAGTTACAGATGATTGATCGTGAGCTGCTGTGTGGGTGCTGCAAACTACCTGAGTCCTGTAGCTCTGGCTGTCTCATTGCTCAGAATATTGAAACCCACAGACATTTACTAGCCTCTGTTCTAGCTGTGCTGGGACTAAAGGCGTGCACCTTCACATCATGCCTCAGTTTGTTTGTTTGTTTGTTTCAAAAGATTTATTGTTATTTTTATTTATGTGTATCTGTGTGGCACATGTATGGGCGCCTATGGAAGTCAGAATAGATGAGGGCATTGGATCTCCTGGAGATGAGTTTAACAGGCTGTTGTGAGCTGTCCGGTATAGTTGTTGGAAATTGAATCCAGGTCCTCTGGAAAAACCACAAAAGCTCTTAACTACCAACCCATCTCTCCAGCACCGACCCTTAACAGTTTCAATTTGTCTATTACTTTTTTTTCCTTGTGAATATGAGATAATTGGTTCTCAATAAATCTTGACTGTAAATCTCTTTGCTAGCTTTGGATTTCTGATGGTTGAAATGAGATTTCAGTTAAGAAACACTATTATGGATAAAATCAGTTTTATTAGCCCATAATGAGGGAAGGAAAAAATAGTGTATATAAACAGTTAAGTTAAAAAATGTTCATTATATTTTATATTGTATATTTTATAAATGCAAAGTAATCTTTGAATGGCTTGTGTATTAACTTCAGTAAGCGAAGTAAGCAAAAATAACAGTGACCATTCCAAGAAGCATACATATGCAATCCTATATTTAAACAGTGTGTTATCTGTTACATTAGGTATCACTAAGTGCATTGTTATTTATATCTCAATTAGCAGTAGTTTTATAAAGGGCTATTGATGTCCCTGTTCCAGAGCTGGTAAAATTAAGGTTTTGAGGGTAAAGTTGCCCCATACAGCCTGGAGTTTTTTGTTTGTTTCTAATAGATTACTTTGGTGCCTGTTGTGGGTTTTTTAAACAGCCCCCAATTTAGTGGAATTTGTAGAATTGTTACATTGCTAACACTATGCCATGGCGGGGGATGGGGGGAAGTCAGTCCTCAGTCTTGATGTTACTAACTTGTTGGGTGGGATAGTCTTTGTATTCAGTATTTGTCTTTTATACATGTTTACCAGAGTCTCCAGCCCCCTCTCATTAGTTGTTAGTAGCACTCCCTCCATAATAAAAGTGTCTCCAGACATTGTTAAATGTCCCCAGGAGGCCAAAATTGCCTCTGGTTCAGAATCACTGTTTCAGGAAGTAGGAAAAATAAATTACAGTGGGAACAAAGTTCTTTAAAAAGATTTAAATATATTGCACATTTGAATAAATGTTTATTATTTATGCTTCCCTTGAGACTATAAGGGCCTAGCAATCAGCCTTAACCTTTTGCTACAAAAAGCAAATTTAAATGCAAGTTTACTCATAAAAATTGGATTCATACTATTTTAGCAAAAGTTATAATTAAGTGAATACCTGACTGAGAATATAAAGCTTATATTTATGTTTATGGAGGTCTTCACTGAGTCCTGTAATTTTGAAACATAACCAGAAAATATTTGAATTTCAAAGTTACAGTTGAATGCTTCTTTGAAACATGTGTTTAGATTAATGAAATTAAAAAATAGCTAATTTACAGTTCTCAGAAGATTTATTTTAAAGCTCTTACAGAGTTGGGGAGATTTTAGGCATGAAAAGTAATGTTCCTTTTAATGAGCAGAGTTTGTGATACATTAATTGAGTACAAAGCTTAATTCATATTTTTTAATCTCACTATTATATAATCATAATTATTTAGAAGGAATTCCCTTTAGAAGACAGTATAGTTTCAATTGCTTAAAATTTTAATAATTAAATAAATTTTAAGTTGTGTTAAAGCAACCAAATATGTGTTAAAGTAGCTAAAATTACAGGGACAGGGTTTCTCTATGTAGCTCTATGTAGCTTTGGAACATGTCCTGGAACTCACAGGGTTCTGTCTGCCTCCATATCCCACGTGCTAAGATTAAAGGCATGCACTACTACTGCCTGGCTATTTTATGCATTTCTAATAAAAGTTCTGTATCTAGAACAGAGTGCTTTTTTTTTTACTGATAAATTGGGAGTAAAAAGTCTGCTCTCTAGAAGCTTGGCTAACTGTGTGTGTATTTCAGATGATTATACCTTCCTAAAAGTAATTAGGAATTGACAACTGCTCTCGAGTGTGTGCTTTACATTGTGTTAAGCTCTTAAGATGCATTAAATATTACTATTATCTTGGACAATGTAGTTGTATTTGGTTATTTTATTTACTCTTTCGGCTCTTTTGGGGTCCTGCCATCCAGTTCTGAAAGAAATACACACAAGGAGACTGGTTTATTTCTAGCCAGCTTTTCTTAACTTAAATTTTTCCATCTACTTTTGTCTTTGCACTTTTACCTTTCTCTATTTCTGTGTGTCTTACTTTACTCTTACTGCATAGCTAGCTTTATAGTTGGGTGACTGGTCCCTGATGTTCTCCTCACCTTGTTGTCTTGCTCCTCATCTTCGTCCTTTCTCCTTCTATTTACTTTCTCTGGCTGCCTACCCTGCCTGTCTTTCCTCCTGACTTGCTGTTGGCCGTTCAACCAACACAACACAACAGTTTATTACACTGATCAGGCAGTGCAACACAGCTTCACAGAGTTAAACAAATGTAACATAAAAGAATACAGCATATCTTTGCATCATTAAATCAAATGTTCCAACAGTATAAACAAATATAACACATCTTAAGATAATATTCTACAACACTAACACGTACAGATACTTAACTTGTGCTGAAACCGAATTCTAATTTGAGAAAAATTTTGTTGTAAAAATTCAACAGATAGTATAATGTCAGTCATTCTTTAAGCAAGCAGTGGAATGCTTGAGCAAATTTAGACAAATAATGTAACTTTCAGTAATAATACCCTCATTCTTTAAATTAATTAATTTTAAATTAATTAAAAAATTAAGTTTTCCTAAATTTAAAAATTAATTTTCTTAAATTTTAAGTTCAGAAATTGTTTATTAACCATAAAAGTCATCACCATGTGGTGGCACATGCCTTCAATCCCAGCACTTGGGGGCAGAGGCAGGTGAATCTCTGAGTTCTAGGCCAGCTTGGTCCACATAGCGAGTTCAAGGACAGCCAGGGCTGTCTCAAACCCCCTTCCTCTCCCCAATCATCCCCATCCCTCCAACAAGTAATGAAGTAGGAAGAAAGTAGGTATGGTGGCACATGCCCTAAATCCCAGGTCTAGGGAGGCTGAGGCAGGTATAGGATCTCTGTGTGTTTAAGGCCAGCCTGGTCTGCATAGAAAGTTCCAGGCCAGCTAAAGGCTATGCAGTTGAGAATCGTCTGAAAAGTTGTTTTTTGTTGGTTTTCTTTTAACAACAGGTTGATGAGTTACTGATAGTTTGTTTGTTTGTTTATGGAGGCACTGACTGATCAGCTGTCACTAGTTTAGTGAGGTTAGCGACTCTGTCTTGTTTGTCACTGTATCTTCACTGCCAGCACTTTTAACAGTGCTTTTAACATAGCATGAAATATTGTCTTTTAAAAGTGGGTTTTACACAGTAATAA